CCCCCCCCCCCCCCCCGGTAATGAAATCAAATAGGAGCACCGAGTTCGTCCAATCAACTTTATTTAGCCCAATTAATTACAAAGCAACAGATGCAGTGCAGCTTTAATTAGCGACGTTGTGCTCAACATAATCAATTCTCATTTAGGGTTTAAAGGGAGGAACAGCTTCTTTGATGTGCGAGCCGTCCTGTACGACGTGTTTTCCCCGAAAAGGCAGCGGTCGCTCTGCATTCTGTCACGCCGCATTTCTCTGTTTGTTTCTGTCGGAGTAAAACATTCAGACGGAGCAGAACCGATCGATAAAACTTAAAATGCCCAGAACCTTTTATTTGATCTTTCTCTCTGTGAGACTGTGCAAACGTCCGTGTCTGAGCCGCACACGATAAGCTGCCGTTTCACGCAGCGAGGTGAAGAAGCAGGCCTGACATGTTGGAAGCTCTGGGCTTGTGTTTTTATCTGAATAATGACACAGAGGCTCATCTCCACACACTTTTTGACCAACATACGCTTTTGTTGTTTACTTGCAGCGCAAAGGAAGCTGGCTCAACATGGCAGACTGACACGGTGTTATCGGTGCAGCCATGTGTTTAAAACCATCACTGGAAAAGCACCAGACAGAAGAAATGGGGGGGGGGGGATGCTCAGACCTTTCTAAGAAGGAAAGTAGACTGTGTTGTTCTGTCTGTCTGCAGAACAGTTGAGGCCCGGGACATTTGGAGAACAGAAGAAATCCATTAAATCAAACAAACATCTTTGGGTACTGTGGGGATCAGGTCCCACTCAGCATCAAATATACAGCCAGCCGGGCCGGCTGCTTTGTTGTCATTGATTGGGTTTGATCGAAACGAGAAAAGGTCACTTCCGACTTAACGCTGAAACTCCGTACAGGATTTACTGTTTGGGATTTAGGGGCAATTTCAGCTTCAAATGGAACGAAGTTACGCTGTTAACTCCTAAAGAAAAATCCCAATCTGTGTTGTATCTGATGGCAGCTTCAAGAGCTCGACCCCACTGTTTTAACTTTTTAATCACCTGCTGCTGCAGGGCGAGGGTGGGCAATAATGTTTCTGTTACCAAACATGAACCACTGGACAGGTTTTAATGAAACTCCCACAAAGAACGTGAAAAACGGCTTCAATATAGTAATTTTTATACAAACCGGATTCCAAAAAAGTTGGGACACTAAACAAATTGTGAATAAAAACTGAATGTAATGATGTGGAGGTGCCAACATCTAATATTTTATTCAGAATAGAACACAAATCAAGATCAAAAGTTTAAACTGAGAGAATGTATCATTTTAAGGGAAAAATCTGTTGTTTCCAAATTTCATGGAGTCAACAAATCCCAAAAAAGTTGGGACAAGTCCATTTTTACCACTGTGTGGCATCCCCCCTTCTTCTTACAACACTCAACAGACGTCTGGGGACAGAGGAGACCAGTTTCTCAAGTTTAGAAATAGGAATGCTCTCCCATTCATGTCTAATACAGGCCTCTAACTGTTCAATCGTCTTGGGCCTTCTTTGTCGCACCTTCCTCTTTATGATGCGCCAAATGTTCTCTATAGGTGAAAGATCTGGACTGCAGTTTGGCCATTTCAGTACCCGGATCCTTCTCCTACGTAGCCATGATGTCGTGATTGCTGCAGAATGTGGTCTGGCATTATCGTGTTGAAAAATGCAGGGTCTTCCCTGAAAGAGATGACGTCTAGAAGGGAGCATATGTTGTTCTAGAACCTGAACATAGTTCTCTGCATTAATGGTGCCTTTCCAGACATGCAAGCTGCCCATGCCACAAGTGCTCATGCAACCCCATACCATCAGTGATGCAGGCTTCTGAACGGAGCGTTGATAACAACTTGGGCTATCCTTGTCCTCTCTGGTCCGGAAGACATGGCGTCCCAGTGTTCCATAAAGAACTTCAAATCGTGACTCATCTGACCACAGAACAGTCTTCCATTTTGCCACACGCCATTTTAAATGACCCCTGGCCCAGTGCAAACATCTGAGCTTGTGGAGCTTGCTTAGAAATGGCTTCCTCTTTGCACTGTAGAGTTTCAGCTGGCAACGGCGGATGGCACGGTGGATTGTGTTCACTGACAATGCTTTCTGGAAGTATTCCTGAGCCCATTCTGTTATTTCCTTGACAGTGGCATTCCTGTTTGAGGTGCAGTGATGTTTAAGGGCCCGGAGATCACGAGCATCCAGTAGAGTTTTACGGCCTTGACCCTTACGCACAGCGATTGTTCCAGATTCTCTGAATCTTTTGATGATGATATGCACGGTTGTTGATGATAACTTAAGTCTTTGCTATTTTACGCTGGGTAACACCATTCTGGTATTGCTGCACTATCTTTCTGTGCAACAATGGTGGAATTGGTGATCCTCTTACCATCTTGGCTTCTGAGAGATACTGAGAAGGTCTTTTTGTACCCAATCATGTTGTCAATTGACCTAATTAATGTTAATTGGTCTCCCAGCTGTTCATTGTATGCTCATTTTCCTTTTTCCAGCCACTTATTGCTACTTGTCCCAACTTTTTTGGGATTTGTTGACACTGTGAAATTTTGAATCAACATATTTTTCCTTTAAAATGTTACATTTACTCAGATTAAACTTTTGATCTGTCATCTATGTTATATTACGAATAAAATATTGACCTTTGCCATCTCCACATCATTGCATTCAGTTTTTATTAACAATTTGTTTAGTGTCCCAACTTTTTCGAAATCTGGTTTGTAGATGTTGATCAACGTGTGTGTGGTAGTACCTGATACTGATCCACAACACACATTCTGAGCACTACTAGACTGTGTAGGGCAGGGGTGTCCACACATTTCCACAGGTGGGCCAGGACTGAAAGGACTTGTGGACCAGAACAGTTTGAATTTAAGAAAAGAAAAAAGTTTAAAAAGCGTTATTTCCCCCCTCATTTTTAAACTCTCAACAACTTGAAAAATATTTTGGAGAAGGTTAAAAGTTTAATTTAAATTATTGTAGATTCAAAACAGTAGGAGTCTCATAAACATTAACATTTGTGTATTTATTTTTTTAATTTATTTTTAATAATTTATTAGATTTTTGGGGTCTGTTATTTGTTTTCTTGCGCTTGGAAAGTTCATTTTTGTTTATTTTCAGAGACAAAAGCCTAAAATGAGTAAATGTTCTTTTAAAAAAAAGCGGGTGGAGCTTCATTCACCCCTTTGGACCATGGATGGCTCAAAAGGGCCACAGAAGTTCTGGAAAACAGCTGGCAGTCACTAAAACAGATTCATGGAAGGTTTGAAGGGACATTGATAAAGTTGATCAACTTGTATGTCGATGATATCACTTGACATTTTTAAAAATAATATACAGTTTTTCCACATCGATTATTTAATCAACTGGAATTATTTTCTTTGAAAACACTTGTTTTAGCCAAGTTTTATGAATAATTATCAAAATTCTACTTTTTGGTAGAAGCCAGTGAAGGTTTGTTTTAGGATTAAGGGTTTAATTATAGCAAAATATTTGTATTATACTTCATATAGCTCATTTTGACAATATTATTTTAATCTGTTTTGCAGTTCAACCTAAAAATTTAAAAATGATCAGCATTAAATCTAAAGAAGGTCCACATCTGCATCAACCTCTTTAAGCCTGTGGGTTGAAATGATACCATTCTTTAATGGCAGTTGTGGGCCGCACAAAATCACTCCAAGGGCCACAAATGGCCCACGGGCCACACTTTGGACGCCCCTGCAGGGTCTTTCTTTAAAACTTTACCATTAACTATTTGAACTTCACATTGAGTGTTAGCAAAATTTCTCATGAACCACAAGACAAATTTTATTTAAACTATCATCATGAGACGAACATCAAGATGGCCGCCACACTAAAATTGCTCTAATTCAGTCAGTTTTACAGATATTCAGCTAACATTTAGTGTCGTTGTAGCTCAGAGTCGTAGCTCAAACGTAACTTCATTATCAGTTTGACCAGAGTGGCTGCAACGGCATCATCTCTGAGGCTACAGGACGATCTTACTATGAAACTCTGTCAGGAAAGGCAGTGGGCGTTTGATCAGACCCTGACAGTGACAGAGTCACAGCAGCACAACAAACATCAGCTGAAGGTTTCCCTGCTGCAGAGAAAATATGCATCTGTCCTTGTGTGATGTGTTCACGTTTCATCTCTCATTGTCCTCTCTCTCTCATTTCTGCCTCCCCTTGTCTCCCTGACGCTGCAGACACATGAGTTTCTTTGCATCCAAAGCGAGCCCGACCTCTGTGATCCTGGACCTGTGGGAGGCGCAGCATTTCCACAGCGGCAACATCAACCAGCTGGCCGCGGTCATGGCTGACATCGGCAAACAGGAAGCCATGATATTCCTGGTCTCCGATGGCGAGTGCTAACCCAGAAACGGGGACAGAGGACACAGCAAACGTGCCGGAACTAAAAACAGCAGCAGGAAACGAAATGCAGCGCTGTCCCAATGTCCCGTTTTCCTTCACTTTAGATGTTAAACCCTTTATCCTTTCAGAGTAAAAGGCTTCAAACGACGGATTGAATTGTGGGTAAGAATTGAGATGTGTATGGGGGAAAACACAAAGTTTTTTTTTTCATCAAATGTTTTCAAGATTTATTAGCTCGCACCTGCAGAGTCATTATAAAGAAAATAAATTAACCTTTTGGTTTCACAAGACGGAGCAATATGCAACAAGATGTTTGGACTCTGCTTCAAACCCTGGTTTTAAGAAAAGGCGTCGGCCATTTCAGGTGAAAGAAGGGAAAAGGTCAAATATGCAATTGGCAGGTTAACACATTATCTCCGACACATTCTCACGAACACGATGACGCGTCTGTCATACGTGTAAACGGTCCGTGGAACGCACACCGCAGCTCGTCCGGTCGGTGCCGGTTTTCAACAGCTCGTTCCCGTCTCACCTGGTTCTGTGTGCTCTTACCGTCCAGCCGGTGTCTCTACTGTGAATGTAACATCTTGATTCAGAGACGCTCCACAGCCTCTTCTGCTTCAAAATCAATACGTGTGAAGCTCAGCCTCTTTAAGAGAGGACTCTGGATGTTGTGTCTTCACTGAAGCCGTATTTCAGATGTCATTTCTAGTTCAGTCCTGGTTTATTTTCAGTTAAACCGATCGGCTTCGTTCTCTTTCACTGATTATTACCGCAGCCGTTCATTGTGGCGTGTTTCTGTTCCACATGTCACAGCTAATGAAGGAGCCATAGCGCCAAAAGGCGTTCTGTGTGGACATTGAATGTCGTCAGAAATCACTTCTAAAATGACCCCCCCTGCATTATTTCTCCAGCATACAAGTACGGGCCACAAGGAGATAATATACTGTATGAAAAATGTAGCACATTTTACCTCTGAAAATACAAAAACAAATTCAAAATCCTCACAAATTAGTCACGTTAAGAGTCATTTTGCAGCCTGTTTGTTATTTATAAGGAAGTTTGGGTGGAAATTCAATATTTGCTTCGTGGCGAACAGTATTTGTGCATCAGAGTGAAGAAGGCAGATTTCTAAAGTCTCTCCTCACTGAAGACCATTTCCTGTTTTATTGTTTTTCTTTTGAACCTGACAGCTACGCTGGTTCTCCTTACAGTTTTGCTGCTCGCTCTGATTTACACGGTAATTTCTTAGTAAGGATCTGTTAAATCAGGCAACAGAAACCCAGGTGGACTAAAGTCCACAGGTTCAGCAGAGTACTTCACCAAGGTGTGAGCAAACTAGCCATAGTTCTGTGTCTGCCTCAGGGTTGCATGTGAAGTCTGTTTCAAGTTGTAAAGAAAGCCCTAAGTCCTTCTGATCGTTGACGGGGATTGCTTTAACATTAAGTGGAGCCTCTTCTATGATTGTCACATATATGGAATGTGTATTTACAGTTGGGGGGGGGGGGGGGGTTGATCCCATGCAGATTTTGTTTTGTTGCTCACTTACAAACAAACGAACGGTCTCAACAAAGTTCAGTCAGGTCATCTGGATGGTTGCTTTTTTTTTCTCCTGAGACATTTCGTCCTTTGTCGAAAGGACTTCATCAGTCCGAGGAGCCAAAACAAACTGTGTCCCACAAACAGCACGCTCACGTAGTGGGCCAACCAGTTTGCTGGTGATAAGATGGTCTCTGGGGCCCACCCTCTCCCCCGTCGACTCCTCTGAAGCAGCCACAGCCAAAGTGGTTCAGATCATCAAAGTTCCTGCTCAATAATCCAGGTAGAAAATCCAACAAAGTTCAGTCAGGTCATCTGGACGGTTTCTTTTTTTGTTGTTGTTGAGACATTTTGTCCTTCATCCAGAGGACTTCCATTTGATGTTTTAAAACCACTTTGGCTGCCTCAGAGGAGTTGACGAGGGAGAGGGCGGGCCCCAGAAACCATCTTAATCACCATCAAACTGGTTGGTCCACTATGTGAGCGTGCTGCTTGTGGGACTCAGTTTGTTGTGGCTCCTTGGATGAAGGACGAAACGTCTCAACAACAACCAAAAAAAAAAAAAAACGTCCAGATGACCTGACTGAACTTTGTTGGATTTTCTACCTGGATTATTGAGCAGGAACTTTGATCCCTTTATGCTGGTTTCATTTTGATGGAGAGACAGGATATGAAGAGTAGAAGAGTGTCGAGTGAATTATTAAATGTCCAATTAATGACGCGGTGCTTCGTGGAGAACTCTTTGTTGCAACTCGAAGCTTTTTTTTTTTTTTTTTTTTTAATTCAACCTTTATTTATACAGGTTAATCCCAGTGAGCCTCGGGGACTCATTCACAAGAGAGACCTGATTGCAGCTTCAGCTCCGTCTACAGAGTGAGGAGATTAGACGCCTCCGTGACGTGCTGCTCTTGAGCCTGTCCTTTGTGGGCTCGGTGGGATGGTTTGGGTCATTGTCCTGATGGAAGAACCATCTTCAGTGTCCAAACTGAGGGGGCTGCCCAGTAAATCAGCAGATTATTCAGTCGATATTCAAATCAATATTGCATATGATAACAAACATATCCCAGACACAGACCTGTGTGTAAAAACGTCTGAACATGGAGCGTCCGTGGGTCCAGCTCATGTCGTGAACACAACATTCAGCTGTAATGTCACCCCCGCATGTTCCCTAAAATGGTATCGTAGATTTGGCCCCTCAATACAGTGAAGACCTCTTGTTTCTTAAGCAGAGAAACAGTCCCAAAGCATAATGTTTCCACCTCCGTGCTTTACTGTGGGGGGGGGGGGGGGGGGATGCTCTTCAGCTCATTTTGTTTCTTTTTAGTTGATGTTCTGTCTCTCTCCATTAAAATGAAACTAGAATAGAAATTCAACTCTTCGTAGGTGGGCAAACCTACAAAATCTAATAATGAGCCCCTTCACTGTAGATGTCTTTTCTGTTCTTGTTTTTTTTTGCTTGAAGCACCTCTGCTCCTGATTCTCCCTCAAATCGTTAAACACGCCTCTCCCTCATGAACACTTATGACCCTTTTTATATAGAGATGCCATAAAATCAAATTGTACCTTTTTAAGAAACCCTTGGATTATTCCCTTATCAAACAAAGTGATGATTACCCCAAATCATCGCCACATTGTAATATGTAAATAGTTTTCTATAGCAGCCGTGCGCTGTCACTTTGCATACTGTATATCAGCAGAGTTGGTAACCAAAGTTTTAGGAACATCGTGTGAGTTCACGGTTTTTACTCGCAGCTAGCGTTAAAATAAGAGTCAGAGCTGCCATTTTGTCTCAGCTGTTTCTCTCATTTTCTTCTGTTTGTTTAATCACGTGTCGGGTTATTTCATCACTTTGTAAACAAATGTAAATTATATTTTAATATGAAGCCAAAAAAAAGAAAGAAAAAAAGACACCTAACTGGCGCAGCATTTGTCAAGTCTAAACCGTGACGTGTTTGCCTATAATACTGTTCTTTGGCGATCTAGCAGTGATTTGCAGTGTTAAAGGTTTAGAGGCTGTTTTCCAGGAAGTTTTTCTACACGTTTCTGTTCGTCCTCGTTCTGCATTCGCTCGCCCGACGATCGTTTCTGTAACTGAAAGCATTTAAACACGCCGCCGAGGGTTAGTGGACCTCCTCTCTGGGACTGTGTGAAGGCTGATCGCAGGGGGACATCGTTCCTCGGGCGATGACGGGCCAGTGTTGACACAGCATGTTTAGATGAGCCTTGGCAGTCGTGCAGTGTGTATGGGTGTGTGTGTAATTTCAGCAGCCTTGTCATTGTCTTGGATGTGTCGCCTAAGCACATTTCAGTAATGTAACTCACCAGCCGCCTGGATGTTCGGCATCTATCTTCACATCTGACTCGTCCAACAGATCTGCGACTACCGTGTGATGAATACCGTTTCCCTCACGATAAAAATCTGATGGTTCTGTACGACACGTGTCAGTAACACAAGGTTTCCACTGTCACTCCACTCCCTCCGTGTTCAGAGGGGAAAATGTTACATCTCAGCACTGTACTCTTTGTCACTCATTACTATTCAGTGTGGAGGACGTAAACATGTTAAAGCGTGTGTGTGTGTGTGTGTGTGTGTGTGTTCCTGTCACTGACTGAACTGTTTTCTTTTGAACTAAGAACAATAGACTTCTGTACTTGTGAATGGTTTTCTATTTAGTTCCTTGGTTCAATGTTTCTTGCCTTTCTGCAAGTCAAAAATGCTGTATTTATTACACGCCACAGCGCTTATGCAATTGTATAATCTTTTTATTTTCTTTATTTTGTTTTTTTTTTTACCTTTTTGTGTTTCTTATTATCGTCAGTGTAAAATGTTGTCAAATCTTTTGTGGCAGTGGAAGAACCTTCCGCTAAGGGAGATTTTTTTTCTGTACTCTTTGGACAATGATAATGGATTTGTGGGTAGAATTTTGGAAATTCGTTTCTAAGTGCTTTCAAGTATTTACTTGGCCTTATGTATATATATATATCTATCTATGACATTTCAGAAACGTATGTATAGTAATTCAATCGGAAAATTGTTGTAAATAAATTATATATTGTTAAATCAAGGGCTGGATTCTTTACTTAAATAGCAGGTACTTTAGGAAAAGCTTTATACAGAAGTCCTGCGATACTTCGCGACTCGACATTTGCAGACTCGCTCTTTCATGAGTTTTCAAAGTACACGACACACGATTGTCAACTTTAATATTACTCAATTGAAAAAAAAAAAACTTAGGACATTCAGCCATTTTGTAGTTTTCTTTCAATAAGCCTAAAAGAACTACATTACCCAGAAGCCAACAGTGTTTCCAGCTGCTGCTTTCTGCCGAAATTCAAAGAACAGGAGTGGAGGAAGCAAACACTAGCAGAGAAATCGATGTGGTAATAGTTTTGCAATGTAAAGAAGTAAAGATGTTTCTGTGGAGCTCAGAACTGGCAGGAAAGTCACAAATAATCCTGAAGCTGAACTCGTCCTTGAAGTTGTATCATCTTCTCTGATGAGTACCCAAACACAATTTTGCAGTATTGTACAGTACTTTTTTTTTCCATTCAACCTTTATTTAGACAGTTTAATCCTATTGAGTCTCGAGGACTCATTTACAAGAGACCTGATATACGTATGTTGTTAAAACTACGTAGACTTAAGAGTTTAGAACATTGTAAGAGTGTGTGAAGGGTTTATAAAGCCTTAAAATATAAATAAATACTAAAATAAATGTAGGATTCCTACTTTGCAGTTTGTCACCTATCGCGGTGGTGTGTGGAACGTAACCCCTGCGATCATCGAGGGACTACTGTATTTATATTCCTCCAAACGAACAGAAAACATGTTGGATTTAGTGCCATCTAGTGGTGAAGCTGTATGTTGCAGCCAAGTTTAGACTAATTTCAGATTTGTTGTCTTTTCAGTTAATCATCGCTGACTCTGTGTCCAGCATGCTTTAGATCCAGTCAGATGGATTCAGCACACCAGATTCAAGGAAACGATTTACTTCAGCACCTTGTCATCAGCTTGTTAATGAGCCATTAATTTAAAGCAGGTGTTGCTGAAGCAGCCAAACATTAACACCTGCAGGGCAGGAGGTAACGCTGCTGTTGTCGTACACAGCGAGGTTAAAAAACAGTAGACATCAGATCTAGCAACCACGATGTGATAAAATGTACATATTTTAAAGTGATTTTCATGCATCTGAAATGTTCAAACAAAACACTGGATCATCATATATGAAAGAAACACGCGTTTGTTTCATATTTCCACACAGGTGGACTAAAATGCGTTTATGTGAACAAATATAAAGTTTAGTGTTAAACAGCCTGCACCAGTTTGATCCTTTACTGGTTTTTTTTCTTCTTGAAACTCCAGCACTGATGCTGCAGTTTGTAATTAACTGGCTCTAAATTTAATCATGAGTGTTTTTGAAAACATCTAGAAAAACTTCAGCGCAGCACACGTTGTATAAAACAAATGACCCTCTGGCCTTTATGGTAATTACTTTCTCATTTGGAAAACTTCCAGCATGAAAAGCGTTACCAGTAAGAACCCAACGACACGGAGCTCCACGCTGATTAGCTTCTGTTTGACAAACTGCAGCGATTTGAACTTCTGGATAAAGTTATTCGGATTCAACAGTTTGAGCAAAAATAAACAGCTTTATTAAGAAAGCAGGAGTTAGATATTAGAGATAATGTGTAAAAATAAAAACGAGTCTTCTGTCTTCACTGGCGTCTTAACAGCTCAACACCTACAGGCCAGCTCTGCAGCAACAAACACACGACGTATAAACTAATGAAGAACATGATAGATGTTTATTTGTGGAGACATAAATATAACAAAACTGTGATATCAAAAGCAAACCACCTTATTGCAGGAATGTGAAACACTTAAAGTTCTCTTTTAACTATTTAAATCTACACATGAAGGGTTTTGACGTATAATCCATATAAAACTGCACCAACCTCCAACATTTATATTCTTTTGGGGGGGGGGGGCTATTTGAACAGAGACGAGTCCTTTTCTGCTCGGCTGGCTTCCATTTATTAAATGAAGCTGCTGTAGGAGTCGACGAGTGGGCCGGGGTCCTGCGTGGGGGTCGGCACTTTGCACTTCCAGCAGGAGAACGGGCAGCTCATTACCTCAATCTGAGATTATTAGAGGCTCGACGACTCCTTCAGCGTGGAGACGCTGACTTGAAGTTACTTCAGAACGAACAAGGATGAGCAGAGACATTTCCTGACCGACACCTGCTAATAAATCTGCACAAAAAGTGACATTGTTTTTTTATTTCTTGAGAGAGACTCATTTTAAAATCAGCTTGTTTCTCGATTACGTCCCAGTTGGGCAACGCAGCGTTTGACTTTACGGGTGCTGAGGTCAGAGGAGAGCTCAGGGAGGTGGACGTTCGTGGAGCTGGCGTTAAGTCGAGTATAAAAACAAAGTCTGCGGGATACAGGAGGAGCTGAACTCTGTGTGTGGCTGGCAAAGTGGTTGGAGGGAGTGTGGAGTTTGTCAGAGGGTGGAAAGGGATAAAGAGGAGGCGGAGGGAGAAGCGTTTCCTCTGAAGACGTGGCTGGCTCTCTCACACTGGAGCGAAAGCGTGGCCTTTGCACAGGGGCTTATCCTTTTTTGAGTAGAACGTTTTCCCCTCCAGGTTGATTTGGCAGAGCTTTAAAGATGAAAGGAGACAGACACAGAGACCGATTGAGAAACCGAGGCTCAGAAACATATCAGACTTCACCAGTGCCAACGTGAATTTGCACACTTTTCAACAGGCCGGAGCGCACGTCGTGTTTACTTGCCTGGCTTCACTCGGTGTTCTTCGCAGGAGTGAGGAAGAGGAGGCACAGACAAACAGCAGGTGACGAGTTAAAAGGACAGAGGAAGAGGTGGGCCGTTCGGGTGGCGTTGCGCAGCGACAGACACAAGATATGGGCCGAAGAGAAGCCCGCAAGAAAGTCTATCCATCAAAATGACTTACGGCGCAGACGAAGCACGTGTCGTGCCAGCTGTAGCCCAAGGCCTCCAGGAAGCGATCGCCGGCATCAATCTTAAAGTCGCAGCCGTGGCATTTGGTGCCAAACATCTTTTCATAGTCTGCAGAGGAAATATGACAACATTCAAATGTAAAAAGCTGTTTTATCACCTGCAAAGATCAGCTCCGTGACCTCCAGCATCACGTCACTTTTACATGAAGTTCTGACGCTCGGATCAGAAAGCAGGCTTTGAGTTTGAGAGGTGAAGCTGATGTGATGCACCAGCTCCTCCTCTCTGAGGATGTGCGTGTTTAGGATATTTTGTGCAGTAGTGGGTTGGATTAGGATGAGGGGAAATTGCTCCCTGGTACTCGACCGGCTTTCATCACAAGGACTCTGGGAGAAGTGTCAGGTTATAACGCTGCTGCTGCTGGAGAGCTGAACAATCCCTGCAAGATGCTGAGGCAGCAGAAAGTTTATCACAGCTGAAGGCATTCTTCTAAGTCTGAGGACTCGGACTGCTCGCCGTGGCCTCTGATGAAGCAGCAGTTCACGTCGCAGCGTCGGTAGCGAGCAAGGAGCGCACGGCCGCCGCTAAAATATTTATAGCATAATCGAAGAGCACGCAGCATTTATAAAAGCCGACAGAGAAATGTATGGAGCAAAGAGCGGCTAAAGAGATTACAGCAGATGAAAACATCACACCGTGTGATCGACTGTGGGCACAGTCACAGCTCAAAGGCCCACAGCAGCGCTGCAGCCATGTTTGACTAAACTCTGACAAACAGCCTGATAAAAACTGAGGAAGGCGACCGTTACGACGGACAAACGTTTCCAAACCCTCGCTTCAGCCCGCTGGCTGCAGCTGTTCTGTAGCGTTTTTGTTCTGCAGGATGACGTGCGCTGTGCGCAGAACATCAAACATCCCTCAGGAAGTTGACGCTGTGCGATGGGACGCCCAACCAGTCTGCGCAGATTTAGAATCAATCTGTCAGACTCGATCCGGGCGTGAAGAGACGTGAACTCCTACACGGGTTCACATGTTTCCCAGTTGGTGCTGAAACTAATCAATCTGCACACGCAGATTCTCAGCAGGGTTTATTTATTTATTTATTTATTTATTTTAGTCTGCGTTTCATATTTGCTGCTCAAGCTGTTAAATAGTTTCAGGTTCGGATTAAATTTTCCAACATAGTTTTGGCTGCAGTTATGGTCTGTTCAGGATACGAGCTTCACATTAGATTTTATTTATCAACACCTGGTCTGAAAACTGAGATTCTGCTGCTACAAGATGTCCGTCATCTCCTTCATGAATCCTGGAGAAGAAACGTCCTTTTATAACCCTGATCGACTTGTTTTTATAATAATTAAGTCTTGATTTACGATATTATTAAAGTATTATTAGTGTTTCTTATCCCTGAACAATTCAGTCTCATAACCAGCAAATCCAAACAGCTGCTGTTCCACATGTATCTCCTAACCTGTTAGCCTGATAATTAAAGAGACAATATGGAACCTTACAAACCCACTGGGTGTCAGAACCGAGCAAGAAAACCTCATTGTGAAACTAGAAACATTTGCATTTCCTGCGAAAGTGCAGTGTGAATGATTATTGCTGAATATTTTTGATGAAAGCTGCTGAAGAAACTGAAACCAAGCTGTAAATCTTCAATCTCTGAACTCAAATGTAACAAATAGTTGGAATGATTTGCTAAAAAAAAGCAACAAAAAGAAAGCTTGGTGCCAGAAGTAGTAAAACTCTAGCAAAAACCATGAAAGAGCTAGCTTACTGACAGAATAAGTGAAACAAAGCAAGAAGAAGTAAGCAAAGAACCAAAAGTAGTGAAATCTTAACAAACACGGCAGAAGTAGCTAAAAACTGCTGAATTAGCATAAAACAGGGTAGAATTAGTATACACATGGTAGAATTAACTTAAATAGGGCTGAATGGTAGCACAAACAATAATAATGTAATAATAATGTGTTCAACATAATGGTACTTCTTCCAGCTATTTAAATGTCAATAATGGTGTACCACAAGGCTCGCTCGTTGGACCCACCCTCTTTACAATCTACATAAGTAATGTAGGTCAGATCATTCCTGATGCCTCCGTACATTTCTATGCCAACGACACAGTTGTTTATTGTTGAGCTAAAACAGTTGCTGAGGTTTTCCAACTTTTAGAATGTATTCGACATCATCCAGTCCGATTTGTTCCTCTAAAACTGACCGCCCTAAGGGATTTTAAGCTGCTGTTAAGTTCAATGCAAAAAATTAATGCAAACATGTTCCTATTTTTAGTACTTTACACCGTTTTATAATGTAGTTTGTTTTTACTTCGTTTTATATCACTTATTTTATTTACTGTACATTTTATATGCTTTCATATGAATGTTATTTGTTGTGTGTACTTAATTTATGTTTTTTGTCTAAAACAGGTTTCTCTTGTAAATGAGTCCTTGTGACTCAGTGAGACTAACCTGTAAAAATAAAGGTTGAATGAATGAACAAAGCAGGGCAGAAGTAGCAAAAACTGTACAGAATCAGCTTTATCAGGGCTAAAATTTCATGAATATGGCAAAATCTGCATCAGCAGGACAGAATATTAGTAAAAAAACAGAATAGAATTGGCATAAAAAGAGGTATTAGTAGCATAAAAAGGCTAAAATTGAAGGCAAAAAAGGGTTTTATAAATGTTCAATTAGGAAAAAAATGGCTGGAAAAAGCTGTTCAAAAAGTATAAATTGCTGGAGTACCAAAATCATAATGGGAATATCCTCAGTAAGCTGAACGTTTTGATATATGAAATGTTGAATTAGCACAAACGTTGCAGAATGAGGTAAGTACTGAAAAACATACAGAAGAGGGATATTAACAATATGGAGTAATAATAAAGAGAAACAGGAAAACAATTGGGTGGATGCAATAAATGGAGCTAAAAGTGAAGGTTGATTTGGAGACTCTTCAGTCATGATTGAGCGGAGCTGAGAGCGAGCAGCTGCAGCCACACGGAGCCGATTTACATTTTAACAGATTAAATGAGGTATAAATCGACATATTTTCCATTTGAGGCATAAAAGAGAGAAACCAAAAACCTTTATGGAAAATAAATTTAAATTTGTAGTTTGGATTTATCTAGATGAGCTGAACCCATCAGTCTGGCTGTAAACATTTTCTAATTAAAGATTATGTGAGGACTGAGAGGACATCCGTTCACGTCAGGAAAATGGGCTTTTAATGCCGAGGTGGATGTGCAGTACTGTGCACAAATCTTGAATCATCAGTCGTTGCTTCACATTTTTTCTTCCAACAAGCTGGATTTTCTTGAAATCTTTTAAAGTGCTCTTGATGGAAAGTCCTTTCAAAGGGAGTTTATTTATTTATTTTTATTTGGCTGCTTTTGCACTCGTTTCCAGTCCAGAACCTGACCGTTGCTTGACGTGATGTTTTTGTTTGAGCCACTTCACTCTGACCTGTCAATCATGCAGACAACCAAATGCTCCGAAGTGCAAGAAATGAACCACTGAGGTGTCGACACACAACAAACTAAGCAAAAAAACTAGTTTGAAATTGGATGTTTAGGCACGTTTTCATCTAACAGCTCAGAAAGAGACTGACTTGTTCACATCTTTCATTTGAATCTTTTTTTTTTTTTTTTTTAAAGAAAGGTATTTTGAAAGACTTTCAGAGACTCTTCATTTGCTGGAGCTATATATATATATAATTAGTCCTGACATTTGTTGTGTCTCTCACTTGTCCACTTTTGTTTTTAAGTGCAAACTTTACAGCATGTTCAGGCTCAGGTACAAGAACTGAATGGAAAATGATTAAAAAGTGTACACAACCAATAAATAAATAACTTTTAACAAAGCCTGGAGAAACATTGAAATTCAGACTACTTTGAAAGGTTACAGGAAAGTCAGGCTGCTTGGAAGCAAAACCTAAATAAATTAGAGGTGGATTAAAACTTGTGCACGGTCATCTTATTTTGATGCAGGTCTCCAGGGGGGCATCAGAAAAACGTCTCTGTGATTACATCAGAGTCAGCACAGACAGTTACTTTGCTTCGTTTTGAATGCCCTCCAGTTGTTTGACACTGATTGGTTCAGAGTTCAGCACTGGTTTGGGTCGGCCCGGCCTCTCACCTCTCTCGCAGTAAGGCTCCCCCTCCTCCATGTAGAAGGCCTGGTTCCTGATGGGGGTTTTGCAGGCGGCACACTTGAAACACTGAACATGGTAGGTCATCTTCAGAGCATGCATGATCTCCTGATAATGGACAGAGAGTTCACTTTTATCATCTTTGTCACTCACTCCGTGTCTTTGAATTTTCTGCTCATGGGGGGGCGGCTCTCACCCCTGCAATCTTCTTCTTGCACTTGGCGCAGGTGGGAGCGTAGCGGTTGTCATGGCACTTTGTACAGAAGACGGAGCCCCTCTCCTCGAAGAAGCCCCCCTCCTCCAGGACCGCCTTACACTGCGAGCAGGTAAACTCTTCAGGGTGCCAAGAGCGTCCCAGAGCCACCAGGTACCGACCCCTGGACCAACACACAGTAAGAGCACGTTACAATCAGGGCTGGAGGCTGCTGGATCCTGATCCCTGAGGACAGGAAGTGCAGCTTCTCGTGTTCGTGAACGAGGACGGTGCTCGTCCTCTGTGATACAAGACGATGTCATTCCACTAAATGCTGGAGCAGGAGCAGCCTCACCTGATGACTTTGTTGCAGGCGCCACATACTGGGGTCCTCCCGCTGCCTTCAGGTGCCGGCTGCACCGCCTGCAGGATGGAGCTGCGGTTCTGCATGGGCGTGGGCTGGACGGGCTGCTGGTGCTGGGTCACCACGGTACTGGTTTTATCTGGACGGTAGCGGTCAGCGAAGTTGGGGTCCGTGACCCACGGAGGTCGGCAGGACGGACCGGAACTGCCAGCAGCTGCTGCGGTCTTGGAGCCTGGACAGAAAGGAGGAACACCTTTAAGGTCTTTTCACGTGCACTACCTTGTGTCACGTAGTCATCACTCATGCACGTGTGCTGACACTTAAAGAGTAAAAATCTGTTAGCACAACCTCCAACAGACACTGCTGGGGTTGAGTTTATGCACCAGCAGGAGCAGAAACTCACCATCTGGTTGATCTGCAGTCTGGGTCTTGGCAGAGGGGGGGGTTGGCTCAAGGCTGAGGGGAGAAAATGACTCGTTAGAAAAGATACAACACACACAGCCTGGTAACCATGGTTACGCCTTTAAGGAATGTCATATTTGGTTATTAACATTCATGATCGTCTCTATTGTGCCACAAATCACCTTCTGTGTGAAGACTCTGCGTCAGCATCAGCAGGACGGGGGGGGGGGGGCTCTCAAATCTGGACTACTTCAAGGCGTGTGCAGGCGTGGGAAACTGTTTCAATTCTAAGGTTTTATGTGTCGTGAGAAAATAAAAACAATCTCAAGCTGTAAAACTATTTAAATCTAACCTTAAGTGTACCAAAACACAGAACAGATCGCACCGTCTTTATTTAACAAAACCACACAAAAAGAAAAAAGGATTAACTCCACTTTTGATTCCTCAGGATTTAGTGTGTGTGTGTGTGTGTGTGGGGGGGGGGTGAATATCAACCAGGTGCTGCTCAGTAAATGTCCCATCATGAGTGTGATCACCCTATAAGAGCAGGAGTGTTCTCACTCTGGAGCACACAGCTGTGTCTGAATACAACGCCAAGATGGACAGACATCAGCAATGACCTCAGAGGAGCAGCTGTGGCTGTTCATCAAGGTCATTTCCAAACAATTTGGGAGTCCATCATTCTACAGTGAGAAACATTTAAAAGTGGCAAACATACCTAGGAGTGGACATCCCAGCAAGTTCACCCAAGGTCAGACCGTGCAATGCTCAAGGAAGTGACAGAAATACGTAGGAGCTTAGTCTCAGACTCTACAGGCCCCAGTCAGCAGGTTAAAGGTTAAAGTTCATGACGGGAAACGACTGAACTGTTTGGAAGGATTACCAGGATCTGGTCTAAAAAGAAGAGGGCAGCAGGACTTGGCTTTGTAACGTTGCATCTGAATGAAGCTCAAGACTTCTGGAGCAATGTCCTTTGGAGAGACGTTTACCCACAATGCACTGCACCTGGTTTGGCAAAAATGAAACTCAGAATATTAGCACAAACCCCTCAAACTAACTCAAGCATGGTGGTGGAGGAGTGATGCCCTGGGCACCCCGAGGTTACTGGCTCGACCGTGAACTTTGTGAACCAAAGGATTTGAACACTGGACCAAACCGGGTCATGATGCAACAGAACGAAGACGCCAAACACAGCTGCAAAATGAAAAGAGTCCAGGAGCTGCAATGGTTCAGTCAAAGTCCAGATCAGACCCTCAGAGAGCTGAGCAGAAACAAATGTCTGCAAAACTCAACAACTGAAGCAGCGTTGGAAAGAAGAGTGGGTCAGAATTCCTCCACAACCATCAGAGACGTGCTGGTGAAGATGCTCAGTCATCCAGGACATGATGGATTCAAAAAACATTCAATACAAAAACAAAGTCCAGTTGTTTTTGTATTGAACGTTTTTTGAATTGAACCATAAGAGACTGAAGAAGTCGATTAGAAAACGATCACTTCACTAAAAGTGGTTCTACAAGCTGCTGGTTCAGGAGTTGAACTTTGTTTTACACACAACTTCTAATTTTAGCTTCATAAACAACAACATGGTGGAATCTGTTGTGTTTTTGTACTCGAGGTTTGATTTGAATCATTTTAGAACCTGATAAAGACCAGATCATCATCATTTGATACATAAAACCCTGGACTTAAAACAAGATCGACTTCCTTTTCACCTACGATTGTAGTTAATAAAGTTAAATAAAGTTCGCTGCACTGAGTTTCTTCAGGATTGATGAAATGCACTGAGCTGCTTACATCAGCTCAGTCGGCAGACCATTTTTTCATGATTCCACAAGATTTTATGAGACAAAAATCAATCAAGTAATTCAATAACCTTCAAAAACCAATGCTGAACAACAAAGTGGGCATTCAATAAACACCGACTCTTCACGAAGCGTGGTTCAGAAGCTTTTACTCCTAATGGGAGCAATAAGCGACCTGAGCATCTCCTCGTGACTGACATCACTCGGAGGCAAAAGTCGGGAAAGAGGAGTTCGCTTCAAGTCCGCGTGTGAAGAGTTGAGATGAAGCATTTCCTTCTTTTTTTTAAAGTTCTGTTACCCAGCAGGCGTCACTACGTTCAGAAAACCTTCAATCCACGACTGAGAGAGAAAAACAACTTCTGAGCCAAGACGGTGAGCTCTGGAGACGTTTCATCTCTAGAGAGAGAAAAAAAAAGCCACCCCCTTAACTCATGTTTACATCATCGACTGATACGACAAGAAATGATGAAATCGAGTCAAAATGTGAATTATCTTCATTCTAGTTTTTTATTGGGGGAAGTTGCTTTTTTTGAAAAAAGTGCTAGTTGGAGCTTTCCGTTCTTAATTCCTGAGTGTGGATTATAGGAGGAAACATAATTTCCTGAAAACATTTCTTCGAATATTAAGAGATATTTAATTGTTTTTGATGAACTGTAGCAATAAAATGTATAGCAGGAATGATGATGCAGCTGAATGGCTGTTAATGAAGCGAGCGGCTGGTGGGACGTGAAGGATCTAGTGGTTGGGTTAAACGAAGGGCAGCATCTCTGTCAGTGTTTGACTCACAGACCCCGGGTCAGCTGCCCTCTGCTCTGAACACCGATAACGCACCGGCCTTCTGGGATCTCACCCAACGACTCGAAGCATCGTCCTGCTCGAGCAGCTCGACTCTCCCTGACTGACCCACATGGCATCAGGCCAGGGGCGCCGAGCTCTCCAACCCTCACACGTCTCTTCAGCTGCACCGCTCAGTGAAGGCTGCAGGTAAAAACTGCACGATGGCAAATCTGTCCTACCTTTAGTGACCTGGATTTTGCTTTCTTGACACCTTTACTGCACTCATCGTCCTCCTTTTTCTCCTGATCGGTGTGATGTGATACAGGTGCGTCTTTTTTATTTATTTTTTTTGCAGCTACGATTTCAGATTCACCTCTGTTGTCTGACTGCAGCTCCCCTGGGATCCATCTACCTGAGCTACGAGGAAAACGTGGTTTGTTGGCAGAGAAAGGCGTTCTGACTTCTTATGGAGGAAGAAGTCACTGACACGTGTCACCTGAAAGTCTGAGGAGGTAAAGGTAACGCAGCTCTGCAGGAACCTGAAGGTAAACATGCCGGCTGCTGCAGCTCGTAGTCATTCCTTCCTTCAGTTTCACCCCAAGCTTTAGCTAAAGTTATGATTTTTTTTACTGTGCGCTAGCTCAACACTTTTTAATTTTTGACAACTTCAGTTCTGTTCGAATGGCTTGATGAAATTTCTCAGCATGGTTTTGATGTCCACCCCTCTCCACTTGTCAAAATTACCTAAGTGTTAGACACATGGACCGTCTGGATATAACTGCAGAACAAATGACGTCTACTTTTACCCGTTTAGCCACTACAGTAGCTGCCAGTTGATTAGAATGGATTAAATTATCACTAATTAAAGTTTCAATCCTTGAAGAAATGCATATCGCCCGCCACCTTGCATGATAAAGTTTTAAACAAAGATCTGAGTATAGAGTAGGAATGGCTTTCATCTACTAGCACACCAAATTTCACACAAATATCAGTGAATATGACCGAGTTATGGCCATTCTTTCAAAGTTTGATTAGCTGTGGCGGCCATCTTTAATCGAATTGGCATGAAAAATAATCAAGATATAGACTTTATTAATAATGTTTTACCCATTTCTATTTGTTCTGAGAGTGTAGTTAAAATCTATCCACTGATTCATGATATGTTTTGCTAACAAACACCTCGAGGACTACAGGCAGCTACATGCTCACCCACCTTCCGTGGTTGCTGGTGCTCTAAATGTAATTATCAGTGAAGAAATTGTGGACGAAACACTTAGTTTCCCTTCTTTTCTTTTTTATTTGTTGGTTTTTGTTTAGAAACATTATTTACTAATCCTCTACTTTTTTTTCCAAGTTTTGGCTCCGGTTTCTCAAAGAAAAGCACCAGTTTGACTTTACAGCTGCAGACAGATGTTAGCCTCCTGAATCAGTCGGGGTTTCCTCGACTCTGCTGACATCTTAGAACAAAACACATGATTTGTCGATCAGCTCAAACTGATCAGGTACTGCTGACACGTTCAGCTCAAAGTCAAATGTGATTAAGTGCAGCAATAAGAATAAAACATATATTTTATGACTATTTTAAGACATTTGGGGTTGTAGTTTTGGGGCTGTGGTAGCTCAGTGGTTAACGCCGTGGTCTCAAACCTTGAGGGTGCAGGTTTGAGCCCAGGTTGCGTCAGGAAGGACATCTGGTGTAAACAACTGCCAAATAATAATAATAATGTGTTATGTATTGTCATTGTACGTTCATATACATTTTCAAAATTATCTCTCTACATTTAACCCATCCACCCCCAGGTGGAGCAGTGGGCAGCTATGGAAGGTGCCCGGGCAGCAATTGGGGATAAGGTGTCCTGCTCAGAGACACCACGAGATGTGCAATGAGTGGGGATCGAACCTGAGACTTTCAGGTCCAGGGTCAGCTGCCCTGCCTCTACACCATCCCACCCCCCCAAATAAAATAAATAAAGGAAAAGAATGTGAACACCACCTTAATAAATCCAATTGTTTCTTAATGATATATTTTCTTCTTTTTATCCACACTTTACAACATAAAGGTGCACCACATCACAGATTTATTTACAGAATTTATATTTATATATTTTTTTATGTTTTCTAAAGATTTTTCTCACTGAAAGATGTTTTTTGACACAGCTTTACCTCAGGTACAAGATGTCAAACCCTTCTGTTGTTAAATCAGTATTAAAACTAAACTTGTTTTTTTTTTGTGGACGTGCAAAGATGAAAATGACTTTGATCAAATATAATCCTGGTCCTGTTTTGCCGTTTCTCCATTATTACATTCTGAACACTTTCAGGTGAGTTTATTTCAGGTAAGAAGAGAAGTAAAAGCTGCGTTTCTTCACCGCTCACCTCCAGCCTTTATGGATGTGTTTTACTTCACGCGTGTTTGTTATTAAGCCCGACTGCACAACAAATTTTCTTTTTCGAGGCAATAAAAGTAAACCTTGAACCCTGATCTGTGCGAAACGACCCGTTAATTCAAACCTGCATAAAAACAGAGGAAGCCCAGCTTCTGCATAATCCTTTGCTTTAGTGAACTGAGATGGCTTTGATTTTTTTTTTTAAAACATCAAAAATAACTGCTGGTGGAAGAGACGAAGTCTATTTTCAATCACTGAATAAACAAGTTGGAAAAACAGTAAAAAAGGACAGAAGAACAAGAGTTACCTGTTCAGATTTTTTATATTTTAGATGTTAGTGATGACAGCAGGAAATAAAAGCACAGATTTGTCTTTTTCTTTGGTACATGCCTTTTAGATGAGAACAGAGAGGAGGACTTTAGAGATGAAGAGCTGAACGGATGTAAACAAGGAAAAGACAGACATATCAGAGGAGGGTCTAAACTTTACAATTACAGAAGAATTCCCACCAGTTTACTCCCAGTAAACCAGTGTGACGTGGAAAACCATCAAGTCAGAAATTCAGGAGGTTTGACGCTTTGGCTCAGTGTGCATGGTTCCACTTTGGGCTTCGTCATCTAGGCTCTGGCTTCGTTTCACCCCGTGTGCATGTGAAAGGTGAACGTTTGACAGTCGGCTATCGTCGTCGTCTTTGTCGCGGTGCGGCTCGGTGTCTCGGGGCTTCGAGCGCGCCGCTCAGACTTTGATATTGAGGGCGCGAGCAGACCTGTCGTGGTGCCAGTCCCTCAGACGGGCGTAGCGAGGACTCTGAATCTCAGTGAGGAACTTTTCCCTGACCAGAGGCAACAAATAGACGAAACACAAAGAAGAGGAAATAAACGGCAGCAGAGAGAAGACATGAAATGAGCAGAGAGTTGGAAAAAAATAAGAGTTTAAGTTTGGTCTGACTGAAGAACAAAGCTGCCTTAAAACAACTCCAGTCTCAACCATTTCATTGTGGTTAATGCTAACACTATTGTTTTTAATGCATGCATATTTAACTTAAAGTTTATTTGCAACCTCAAACAGTTTTTTTTAAATAATGTTTGAATTATGACAAAACTCTGACATTACAGTCTTATTTGAAGATGGCAGCGATTGGCTTCGAGCATGACTCCACTCAGACTAGCTGCTCGTCAGTCAGGTCAGAAATAAACTTTATGTCTCCAAACTGAGGCCGTTCAAAGAGTTATCTACAGCAGGTAAGACGGTGCAGGTAAGACGATGCAGGTAAGACGGTGCAGGTAAGTGTTCAGAGCCTTCACACAAAACCTCCCTTCCAATGATCTCAACTATCACTTCAATGCTTTTTTTAATCTCAGTGTAATGTTAGCTGATGTGAAAGAGGCTTTAGTTGCTCAGATATTTGTCTGAGTTCCAATATGACCCTGCAGATTATTAATTAGATTAATTTCTGTTGCTCAAACACTCTCGTCTGTGGATTGAGAGTCCAGAATCTTTAAAAATGATTTTGTGACATTTTCAACATGATGAAAATCAAGTTATTTTCCAAACCTCTTCTAAAATCTCCTTTGTTTGTACCAAAGTACACTTGAACAAAAACATCTCTGACTGATGTTATTTTGATAAAATGGGTCGCTTCATCACAGCCGACTGCCGTCCTGTTGCATTCAGCTTCAAACTCTCAGCTAATGCTACACGTTTGTTTACTTCTAACACCAGTGCACACGCCAGTATAGGAAAGGGTATCAATGTGGTTACTTTTTTCCTGAATTTAAATCACTGATCGAGATAAATGTGCTCTCTTTAGCCCTGTACACACGTAGCCTGGTGTTTGAAAAAACGAATATCTGCGCAAAAAAATATCGCCGTACATACATGTTCGGATAGAGAAAATGATCGTCTACATGAACCCGGTGATGTTCACCACAGAGCGTTGTAAAGAATATGCCCAACCCATAGGAGGCAGTGTAGTGCAAAGGTGAAACGTATATCAGCCAATCACAACCCTTCAAAGCAACCACAATGAATGGGCAAACAAAAACAATTGTCGCACATGTGACGTCAGCGCCGCGCTGCACCATCTGTCGCAGACATAATGTGCATATCTCCGGTTCCGAAAGTCCACACGCAAACCCGAAAGAGGAGATTTCTCAAATCTCCACTTTGGTCGGAGTTTTTGTTATTATTCGTTTATAGTTACATCAACCGGAGTTCACGTGTGGATGAAAGGCCACACCGCATGATAAACTATTCGGTTTTCCTGATATCCGGCTACGTGTGTACAGGGCCTCA